CGTTATCCTTCTTTTCCCACTGTCAAAAAGAAAATAAACCAATACCAATCTGTAAGGTTGTGTCCTCTTTTTTTTTGTCTTTACCATATTCTAAAGAACTTGTCATATTCTGATTTCAGCCTCAACATGAGAAAGTGTACTCTTCTTGTTTGTACCTAGACCTTGCTGAAGTTGAGCCTTGTGTGTCGGGGCCAAAAAGGTATATTTCATGTCTTTGTTAAACAATCTATTGAATGTGAGTAACATTGTAAGAACTTTCTAATATATATTTTTACTTTCCCTGATAGACCTCATGACCGTGTGCCTTTGAAAGAAATGAAGTCTGATTGGCACTCTTGCCTTGATAACAAGGTTGGATTCAAGGTGAGCAAGTACTCTTTTCTACTTAATACCATTGAATCTCTTCATCATATATGAACATGCAACTCAAACTAATATTGGCTCTATAACTGTAGGGATTTGCTGTGCCGAAAGATGCGCAGGAAAAAGTGGTAAAATTTTCTTTCCACGGACAACATGCAGAGCTCAAGCATGGAAGTGTTGTTATTGCCGCTATCACAAGTTGCACTAATACATCAAATCCCAGTGTTATGCTAGGAGCAGCCCTTGTTGCAAAAAAGGCTTGCGACCTGGGTCTAAATGTCAGTTCTGGTATATAGTTGTTTTTCTTCAATGATTTATTCGTATTTTCTAATGTCATCCTGTTGATATCCAGGTTAAACCATGGGTTAAAACAAGTCTTGCTCCTGGCTCCGGTGTAGTTACTAAATATTTGCTCCAGAGGTATTCTTTGTAGTTTCTCGAGGGAGTTTCTACTTATTCCATCCTTGTGTGTGCTTGACACTATGTGAAATGTGGTATTTGTTGTGAAACAGTGGACTGCAGAAGTATTTAAATGAGCAAGGTTTTAATATTGTTGGATATGGCTGCACAACTTGTATTGGGAATTCTGGAGATTTGGATGAATCAGTTTCTTCTGCTATATCAGAAAATGGTAACTCCTTATGATTGTTTGTATGTAGGTGTAGCATTGTCTAGTCTGTTTTTAGGTGATTATTTGACTTATTCTTGTGTGTGTAGACATTGTTGCTGCTGCCGTACTCTCTGGAAATCGAAACTTTGAGGGGCGTGTTCATCCTTTGACGAGAGCTAACTACCTTGCTTCACCTCCTTTAGTGGTTGCCTATGCTCTTGCTGGCACTGTAAGTGAATGAACCAAGTCATATTTTATTTGTCCTGGGAATTGCTTCTGCTATATATTATACACATTATAGTGGGAATAAGGTTGTAAAAACATACTTTAATGAACAAATAAGATGAAAATCTATGATTACCAGAAATGTCTACTCAGAATAAGTGTCAAATTAGACATGCTGTGTTTGAAATGGGAGTTTATATCATCGTGAAGCATATTATAACATGTCGCACCCCTATTTTGAACGGGTCAAACCAGTTCGCAACATAAATACAGGAACAATTTTTCACAATTAGATGTCTATAGTAATTTAAAATCTGCTCAAAGGCAAAGTTGAACATGTTTGAGAAAAGCTGGCAGAGTGATGGAAATGTAAAATAGTTGAGGTTTCATTGGGAACTTGTGTTAAGTGCAACTACTTAACAGTTTGGAACGAAATGGGAATTGCGAAAAGCCTTGAAGGTGAACAGTTTTGGTATTTACTTTTTAGAGCCCTCTTTTGGCGTGTTGTATTAACTGATCGATCTCAGTTGTGTCCCTGTCATGAGCATCTTTCATAAGTTGGAACGGTAGTTTATTCTGACACAGCTTAGCCCAAGCTACTGAGTTTCAGCAGAAATCTGTTAAAAAAAAGGAATTCAAAATGTAGACTCGATGTTCTAGAATGATTGTGCACACATGATTTCATTGTAGATCTAAGAAGATCATGAAAAACGTACGGGGATATTATATGCAATCATCAGCTCATGTTGCTTAGAGACTGACTGAAAACTATTAAATGATTTTCAGGTTGATATAGACTTTGATAAAGAACCAATTGGAGTGGGGAAGGATGGTAATAGTGTCTACTTCAGGGATATTTGGCCATCGACTGAAGAAATTGCCGAGGTATCTAGTTAGTTATCTTTGTGCACATACAATTGATGAAGAAAAGAGTAAACTGAAAATGAGATCTTTCCTCAGGTTGTTCAATCAAGTGTATTGCCTGACATGTTCAAGAGTACGTATGAAGCTATTACAAAGGGGAATAACATGTGGAATCAATTGTCAGTACCGGCTACCTCGCTCTACTCTTGGGACACTAGCTCTACGTACATTCATGAGCCACCATATTTCAAGGATATGACCATGGATCCCCCAGGGCCCCATGGAGTGAAGGATGCTTACTGCTTGCTGAACTTTGGTGATAGTATTACCACAGATCACATTTCACCAGCTGGAAGCATCCACAAAGATAGCCCTGCTGCTAAGTACCTTAATGAGCGTGGGGTTGATCGCAGGGACTTCAACTCATATGGTAGTCGTCGTGGTAATGATGAAATTATGGCTAGGGGTACTTTTGCCAACATCCGAATTGTTAATAAGCTGTTAAATGGTGAAGTTGGCCCAAAGACGATTCACATTCCCTCTGGAGAGAAGCTCTCCGTGTTTGATGCTGCAATGGTACTTTACTCTTTCCATTTGCTTACATTTCTATTATGCCATTCCATTGCATATTCTGTTGACATTGAGATAGTCCCCATAATGCATTTCAAATTCGTAACAGAGTAGTTGATACTTCAGAGATTTTCTATGATTGTAACATTTCTTAATCCTGATACATTAGAAATACAAGTCTGCTGGGCAAGACACAATAATCTTGGCTGGAGCTGAATACGGAAGTGGTAGCTCCCGAGATTGGGCTGCTAAGGGCCCCATGTTGTTGGTGAGTACTTTCACTACTTCTGTTTGAATTTGTGTTGATTTCTTCCTGTTTGTATCCTATAGGATTTTCTAATCAAGAGAACTGTTTGATAGGGAGTTAAAGCTGTAATTGCTAAAAGCTTCGAGAGGATTCACCGTAGCAACTTGGTAGGAATGGGAATTGTGCCTCTATGTTTCAAGGCTGGTGAAGATGCAGATTCACTTGGATTGACAGGTCATGAGCGATATACCATTGATCTCCCAGACAACATTAGCGAGATCCGCCCAGGTCAAGATGTTACTGTACAAACAGACACTGGAAAATCTTTCACATGCGTAGTGCGCTTTGACACTGAGGTATATGACTTTCACATGCGTAGTGCGTTGAAGTTGTAGTATGTAAGATATTGTAAAATGTACTCTACAGTAGAGATCTCCCATTAAGATATCCTTTCGCCATCTATTAGGTCTCTTAACATTGTATTGGCGCTTTGATTTCCTTCTACAGGTGGAGTTGGCTTACTTCAACCATGGTGGTATCCTCCCATACGTCATTCGACAGTTGAGTCAGCAATGAAACACAGCACTGATTATCTAGTAGCTACGTTTCTCAGATAACTGTTTCGGTCTGGAAAGAGGAGGAAGGATCATGAATCTTTTAACGCCATTGTTGGCGAGGTTATTTTGTTACTTCAGAAAGCACTGTCTAGCTAATCTTTTGGAGATGACTAGCAGTGTATCATCTTGTGGGAATAAAGTCTTAAGTCTGGAAATTTGTAAAACTTGCTTTACATCAATTGAAGATTTTGGTTGCTTTTCATGTTTTCTTTTTCTTCTTCATTTTTTTTTTT